GGACTACGAATTCTTACAAATAGATATTGTTTTCAAGGATCGCTGGTAGCGATGAAGACTCATGGGCACATGGTGAGTTTTAGGCAGTCATCAGGCGAGCCAGATCCAATTCCCTTACAAGTAAATTCAATGCACCATTTCTAATAATTCGCTTGATTAAGATTCCAATACTTTACTTGAAAGAATTTAAGCTAGGGTTGTAAAGACTGATTGCATAAGCTCAACTCAATTGAAGATGAGTGAGGTTTTGCCTTTATTATATAGAGATTACAAGATAAGTATGTTACAATATAAACGTATAATAGATTACAAGTGAATTCAAATTACAAATATAAACTGATAGAGTCTAAGAAGAGATAGGACTGCGTTGGGTTCTCTATTTGGTAAAGAGTCCTTGAGTTATCCAAACTAACTTTGACTTGGTGAGTGGGACTTAGGTGATTCAAAATGCAGGGATGTGGATTGCTGACCTGGAGTACATGTAGGAATAATAGGTTTATCACACCCTCGCAAGCTAAGTGGGCGTTTACGAACAGGAAGCTTGGAGAGGAGATAACATATTATATAATTGTTTGGGGGCTCCCAGGAAGTCACCTCACGATGAAAACCTTCTGGTGGTAGGTTTGGAAAGGGAACTAATCCTTAGAGCAAGTTCACTTCACTAAGGTAAATAGTGTACGTTATTGCATCGGATTATTTTGAATTGGACTAATTCAAAGATTAAGCTGGACTAATTTAATGAAAGATTTGATGCGTAACAAACTAAGAAGCATGATAATTATAAAAAGGAAAAAAGAACCCTATGATATGTAACAAATTTTTTTGCAAAATCTAACTACATCTAGAAACCAAAGTAAAAAAAAATAATAATCAAAACTGAATGATCAACCGCCCCTCATTGCTTAATGATCAAAACCCAGATGCAAATTCACCAAATTAAAAATCTCAAACAAAAAAATTAGTTCATGCACACAAAAGTTTGTGAGCTCTAACGAAAAGGGCAAAGCTTTTACTTATGGAAACTGGAAAAAAGAAAATCAAATCCTTTAAACTCAGAAAAAATTGATTCAAAATTTTGTAATAATTCCTTCAAATCTTTTAATTAAGCTCAGAACTCTCAACCCAAAAGTGAAATTTTCCAATAAATCATTAGAACCCAAAAACCCAGCTGAAAACCCTTCTAAGACCTTAACTTTCCATTGAATCATATGAATCCAAATGAAAATCGCATTGATTTTTCAACTAGGGACTTGAAGGGGACGTTTGCCACGTCGTCGCCTGTCAAGGGCCCAGGCGAGATCAGAGGTGAATAAGATGACTGCCTAGTGTAGATCGATTCAGAATTTGGCTCAACTCCAAAGACTTTGCCAGATATGAAGAAGATGCACATTGCCTGGGCATCCCTGCTAAGCATCATGAATCGCGTTGGTTGCTTAACCCTCTTCGTTGGGAGAAAGGTGGGTTGCCTTCAAGAAAAGAGATTAACAGATTAAGGAGGAGGCGATTGCTCATTTGATCACCGTGGTAAAGCCTGCTGCCAGTGGAGGTGGAAAGAAGAAACTTTCGTCACCTTCTCGAGTGTCGTTGGTTAAGAAAATGTCGAAGAATTCTTCTGTTGCCCGTGGGGGCTCGCCTACTGCCAAGAGGCTTGTCATTGATTTAACTTCTCCAAAAGGTAAAAAAGGAGATTGCTAAATTTGAGCCTGCGAAGCTTGCTGTTCAAAAGGTGGCTAGAATTATTGCTCAGAGGATTGCCGAGTGCTGGAACCAAATTCCCCACACCTTCGTGAGTGGTGGTCAAGCGTAAATTCAAGCAACCTGCAAAACAGTGAAACAACCTTAAGCAAGCCTAAGACTATGAGAGGGGGTTTGCAGACCAAAGGCTCTCCAACGGTCAACTTAGTGAATGATTTTAGATTCAAGCAGTGGGCAAGAGAATTCAAGTGTTTAGATTGTGTTACCATAGATGAACCCTAGGTAAGTGTATTGATACCGTGAGAGAGAGACCTTTTTAGGATAGAATCCTAGAGGATATCTAGAAGTAGATATTGCATCCTCTTAGGAGTTGAGATTACTTGCAGTGCACATAAATTCCTAGATTGTAAGAACTTCAAGAATTTTAGGATTTGATTGTGTCCATATCTGGATTAGATCTCGTGTCTTACAGAACAAGCATGGTCATCCAACGGAGTTGTAGGATTCCACCTAGTGCCCTATAGTAGAGTGATGGTGGTACCCTACTTAGTCTGATACAGCTCCGTTCAGAACTGGTGAGTCTATGACCGACCTCTGAGGTAACGGTATTCGGATCAGACTTACTTCGGCCTTGAAAAATCATGTTCAACTTCAAAGAATGGTGTTGTGGGGGGTCGGTCTATCCATTACGTGGAAAGTGACCAAGTGATTATAGAATTTTGACCGCTAACTTCACTATTCCCAAGGATTGCATTGGTTCCCCATTAGTGGTATGAAAAGTTGTTTTCCCTTTGTTAATGTTGTCGAGAATTCCCATCTTTTCGGCGGCACCCTTGAATGGAACATTGATTCATAAGTTGTTGTCGACCAGAATGCGACTTACCAAGGTGTTGGAGATTTGGACCTTGACGACGAGGGCATCGCCATGAAGTGAAGAGACATCTTCTAAATCATTGGTTGAGAACATTAGGATGTTGGAATCGATTGCCAGTGGTTTATTGATGTAGGCCACCATTCTTGGTTTCTTGGAAGCTGCCTTTCTTTCTTTCTGGGTGATTCCTAGATATTTTTACTCACCATATATATAGTTTACCTCAGATGATGCTTCATTGCTTCTTCCTCTAAGCACTGGAGAGGGTGGAGACCTCGAAGCCTTCAGAATTTTCTGGGATGCCCCTTTGGGAAAGGGCGTTGAGACGATTATTCTGACGTTAAATCAATTACCTTTATCTTCTGGGCGACCAATTCTTCGAAGCTAGTAACAGCTTCCTTGAGGTTTTTGATGTGTGCCTTTATGTCAGTGAGTCAGGTAGGTTCTCTAGCCAGAGAGCTTCATCAAACACCTTCTAGAGATAAACAAATTTCCATGATGTTTTCCCACGTCTTGTCAATGGCTGCGACGTTATCGTACCCCTAATGGATACTACTCTGAGAGGCAGTGAAACTGATGTGATTAACTGAGTTTTCCGACATGTTGACTAGCAAAGTGATATGGTCGAGAGAAATATGAATTCACTCTCGACGAAAGCACCAATTGTTGGAACCAAATTCGTGCACCTCTGTCAACGATGGTTGAGCGTAAATCCGAGCAACCTGCAAAACAGTGAAACACCTGTAAGCAAGCCTAAAACCCGGGAGGGGGGGAGGTGTGCTAGCCAAAGGCTCTCCGACGATTGAATTTGCGAATGATTTTAGACTTAAGCAGTGGGTAAGAGAATTCAAGCTTTTAGAGTACGTTACCTTAGATGAACTGCAGATGGATGTACTTATACCGGGGGAACTAGGAAGTAATAACATCCATTTGTTAGGTGGAAGATACCTTTTTCACCTTGTCACATCCCGGTCCGGGGCAGATCACTTCTCGGGCCTGCTTCACCACCGTAGCACGATATTGTCCGCTTTGGGTTTACCATTCCCTCACGGTTTTGTTTTTTGAGAACTCACGAGCAACTTCCTAGTGGGTCACCCATCATGAGAGTGCTCTCGCGCGCTACTCGCTTAACTTCAGAGTTTCGATAGAACTCGAAGCCAGTGAGCTCCCAAAAAGCCTCGTGCTAGGTAGGGATGGGAATATGCATATAAGGATCACTCCCCTGGACGATGTGGGATGTTACAATCTACTAGAATGGTAAGCCCAAAGCGGACAATATCGTGCTACAGTGGTGGAGCGGCCTCGGGAAGTGATCCGCCCTGGGCCGGGATGTGACAATTTGGTATCAGAGCCTAACCCTGGCCGTGGTGTGCCGACGAGGACGTCGGGCCCCTAAGGGGGGTGGATTGTAACATCCCACATCGCCCAGGGGAGTGATCCTTCTATGTATATTCCCATCCCTACCTAGCACGAGGCCTTTTGGGAGCTCACTGGCTTCGGGTTCTATCGAAATTCTGAAGTTAAGCGAGTAGCACGCGAGAGCACTCCCATGATGGGTGACCCACTGGGAAGTTGCTCGTGAGTTCTCAAAAAACAAAATTGTGAGGGAATGGTAAGCCCAAAGCTGACAATATCATGCTACGGTGGTGGAGCGGGTCTGGGAAGTGATCCGCCCCGGGCGGGGATGTGACACACCCTACCTTAATACATATAAATAATTGTATGTAAAGAAACGAAAAACAGAGGAGTTGACAATGACAATGCTCACAATAGTCAAATGAAGATGGGAGTGCCGGAGTGGGGCAACATTTATGTCACATCTATTTACGAGTTAGTGGAATAAAAAAGTGAAATTGAATTTGGAAAACGACATTTACTCCAGTGCTACTAAATATTGAGAAATAAAAAAATTTGATGGAACTCATACAAATTATATTCTCTCAAAAGAAAAAAAAAATCAAAAAAAAAAAAAAAAGAATTACAACTTTTCTCACAAAATTAAAATAAAATAAAATTTCACCGAAAGATAAATACATAAACAAGAATTAGCATATAAAATAAATTACTAGAATATGGACATTTTAGTAATCACATTGATTTTTATTCCAATTTATGTGAATAAGTAAACAGCTTATATGGTACAATTCTTCAAATTTGATGTGTATGACGAATAAAAATCTGATATGATTTAGTTTTTCAAAAATCTGATGTGTATGACGAAAAAAAAGATATACATATTATAACATTACGAAAAAAAAGATATACATATTATAACAATACGAAAAAATAGATATTCAAAATTCCAAACACCACATAACAATACGAAGCACAGAAAAATTAGTCAGGCGAGTCAAGCTTTGAAGTGAAAATTTAAACCCAAATTAAAGGGTTCGACAGATAATTATTTGTCAACGAGATGGGTGGCAAGGCCCATGATCAATGAAATGGGCTCAATCCAAAGTCCAACTTGTACTTTCCCGGAAAACAGAATCTGAAGGTCTGAACGACGAAGTAATTGACGATTGGGGGAACTCAGACACTTGGAAATCTCCCAGGAAAGAAAACATGGCTGCCAATTTTTGGACTTCGTCCCACTAGTATGCTCTTTTCGAACCCGAAATTGTTTCCCATGTTTCTGTCTTTTGTTGTTTGCTTTGATTTTCGTAGGTTTTGATCATGTGGTTCTGTTTTTTGTTTCACGCAGCAAACAGCTTTTGGATCAGGAAGACGTGGATGTCGTATCCCCGCTTGATAGAGAGAAGGGCATAACTCTTGAAGATTTCAAGCTCATAAAGATGCAAATGGCTAACTGTATTTCCTCTCTCTCTCTCTCTCCATGTTGTGTTTTTGATTTGTATGAACTGGGTTTTTGTTTTACTTGTTTTTTGAGGATTTTGAATGTGTTTTCCAGCTTGGGTTTTTGTTATTTGTTGAATTAATTTGTGGTGGATGCTGAATTGTTATGTTTCTGTTGAACTTTCTTGGTTTCGTTTGAGCTTCTTATGCCCTTCCATTTATGAACTTCATTAGATATGACTCGGCAGCTGCATTTGAATTTCGCATACTAATCGATACAAAAGATTTAAAATTTAATATTTCAGCTATAGGTATTCAAAGCGTTGGGATGAACAGAGCTACTTAAATCGTCTGAGTGGTTAAATTTACAGATTCTAGTTTCATGATGATAGAAGGAATTCGGAATAGTACTATGGATTTCCGGACGTGCTTAATTGGGAATTATTGTCTGGTTAATGTTTGGAAAGACCGTCACTTTTAACAGGATTCATCGAGAATTCTTAAATGATGAAATGCAATCTACCATTGGACTTTTTTACCTCAATTCAAACAATAGAAGAAAAAAATTGTTCTTCTGTCACATGGTGGTGTGTGTGTTGCTCTACTAGAGTAATTTCCCTTAGAAGTTGTCATATGTTGCGTTGGTGTTCTTGGCTTGTGTTTTCTTTCTTGAAGCGATTTCCTTAAAATGTTTGTCATATGGTTCTTTTGATGCGATGGGACTCTCCGCCATAGAGCTTCTGCTGCAAGATTAATGTATGTTGCTCACATACGCATGCATAATACTGCTGATCGCTCACTATGTTTTTCATATCTGCTTTACTATGAATTATTCATTTTTTGCTCTTTTTCCTTTTCCTTTTTTTCAGATATATCAAAATTGGCCCAACATGTAAAAGTTAGACAAAGGTCGGGCTAATTTCCTCATCTACTTTATGTTCAGGAAAATTCTTAATTCACTTCTGCCTATCTATCTGATTTCTTATTTACTGTTTTCAGGGTTGTAGCTACCGCAGTTACGTATATGAGACGAGTGTACACCAAGTACGTTAACTAATTATCTTATTGTAGGAGAAATGCTCAGTCACTAGCATGGTTTATTCCTTATTTGTGGTTGTTCTCTTCTGATAGTCCTGAGACTGCTAAACTTAACCCCCAAATCCTTCCTTTCATAATTGAGTTCATATCTGTTAAGTTTCTCATTTCTTTAGCTAAGCTACATTTTTTTGCCTCTGAACTGATTATCACAATAACTACTAACCTAGGCATATCCTCGACTTATTGATTGTCAATCATGATTTTACGTGCCTGTTGTTTGTTTGTTTTCATCTGCATATAGTTCACCCTGCTTATTATCAAATTTCTAGTACTTATTCCCCCAAAAAGTTCAGTGCAATTTATGCATGCATATGGATGTTCTATCTTTATTCTATTATGGTTGCTTTGTTCCTATGTGTTGTATTATGGGTTCACAACGTAACTTTGTCTCAATTCACTATACAGTTAGTGTTGACATTCCCTTCTTTGGGCTTGCCGTTTAGCAGTCTATCGTTGCAGGACTTTGAATTTTAGATGTGATTTTTCTCGTTATTGCTTCAGGAAGAGTATGTCTGAGTATGATCCACGTCTTGTAGCTCCAACCTGCCTGTACCTGGCATCAAAAGCAGAAGAAAGCACAGTGCAAGCTAAACTTCTAGTATTTTACATAAAAAAGTTTTGTAAGTATTGGTTGCTGAAAACAATAGATTCCTTTCTCCAATTTTTGTTATGATTTACTTGTTGTCGTTCTATTTATTATGGGTGGTGCCATCTGCACACCTCTTTTACCTCCCACACACCCTCTTAATTTCCGGCCGTCGGATCGAATGAATTGAAGAAGGACCAAAGGGAAAAAATTAACAAAGGGTATGTGGTAAGTAAATGTGGGTGTGTGGATAGCACCACTCTTTATTATTGAAGCACTGACGGACAATCTGAAACATTTCTTTTACAGATACCGATGATAAGTATAGATATGAGATCAAAGACATACTTGAAATGGAAATGAAGATTTTAGAAGCTCTCAACTATTATCTAGTTGTATACCATCCGTATCGCTCATTGTCTCAGTAAGTACTTTTTCTGTCAGTGTTGATGAACGGATGATTGCAGAGATGAATATCTCTTTATCCACTTAGTTCCCCCTTGATAACGCTCTAAGTACAGTAATTTTCTCTTTCGTCCCTCCATTATTACTTTAAAACAATTTCACTCCATTTCTTTCCAGGTTGCTTCAGGATGCAGGCTTAAGCGATATAAGCATGACTCAGTTAACTTGGTAAGTGCCCAATCTCCCAAGTGGTTTGTTTTCGCACATTGTTATACGTATCTGAATGTTTACTTAGCGGCTATTTATTTATTTATACATCATCTTCAGAAACCTGGAACTCGTAACTTTGTTATTAGGGGTTTGTGTCTCTAGGGCACTGCTTGTTGTCAAGGTGTTTTAATACAGAAATGCCTCTGGTGTTTCTGATAAATGAGTATTTGTATTTATACATTCTCGAGCTCTCTATAACTTAAACGTGAGGTAACCTTGACATTTTTGATATACATAGGGGAGTTGTAAATGACACGTACAAGATGGACCTTGCACTTGTACATCCTCCACACCTGATTGCTTTAGCTTGCATATACATCGCTAGCGTGCTTAGAGATAAAGATACCACAGCATGGTTTGAAGAGCTCCGTGTGGACATGAATGTGGTGAGTCTTCCTGATGTTTCTGCATCGTTTCCTTATGATTATCTATAAAAACGTAAAAAGACCTTTTGTCTGTTTAAGGCGCAACCCTACTTGGGTTCGTCATTGGATTGCAAATGCTGATTTCGTTTACAACGTCTGGCTATGCATTTGTTAAAAGTAAAACCCTCCTGGCCTTTGTTACTTGATATTTGGAGCATTGATCGGGAACTTCTGTACAAATGGCTTGAAACTGGGGAAAAAATATAGTTGCGTTTGGTCCAGCATGCGCACCGGCAATGTCACTTGTAGATTATTGTATAACGTGGTAAAAGATTATTTGTTTCTGCATTTAGCATATCATCTTACTCTTGAGGGATCTGTTTATAAATCAAGTTTCTCTGACCGAATAGAGTTCTTGCGTCTGCATTTAGTGTATCACCATACTCCAGAGTTGGTAATAACAAGTAAGTGTAGCGCTTTCTTTCTGTTTGTACCCTGGGAATTAATTATAACACATATTTTGACAGGTGAAAAACATATCAATGGAGATACTAGATTTCTACGAAAACCACCAAACGATCCTGGATGAGAGGTTTAATTCTGCTCTCAATAAGCTTCCCTACAAATCATAGATGGCCGGAGAAGGCTAACGCTACTGAGAAACCATCGCCGGTCGATGTATGAAAAACTCTATCAATGGATGTTTCACCCTCCTCGAAGTGCAATAATGTTGTATAAATCAGAAAGACTCAGTTGTAAGTAACCTATCATGTAAGATTCTTATTATGGGTTTTCAAGAAGTTGAGTGCATTAGTCGATCTAACATTTCCAACATTTCGATGAACGTTTTGAGCCGCATTAGGGTTTTCTCCGGCGTGATTGATACATTTTTCTACAGAAATTACTTCCAACGTTTCATCACTGCCAATATTACCAAAAAAAAAAAAAAAACAAACCACTCACAAGTTACAGACTCGTAACCGAAGGCAACGTATGAATTCGTATCACTCTTGACTCTGTCTAGCTTTTCCCTTCTTCTTGGCCTGCTGCTTCTCTGTAATTACACGCATCAAGCACAGAGTCATATCATAGAAGTCGGTGTTCACGAGATGCAAGGGAAGTGAGAGGGTAGAGCAGAGAGAGAGAAGAGAGTACCCAGTTTTCTCTTAGCTTCGGATTTTGCAAAAAACTCCTTCCACTCGTCTGTTAAGACGAAAACCGGCTCGTCATCCTCTTCCTCTTCCAACCCACCATCATCGATCTCACCGTACTCCGGCAATGTCCTGTTAACAAGACGATGAAAAATCAAATTCTTGAACTGCCGAAGCTCAAAACGTGAAACAAAACTAAAATCAAAAGTAAATGTTCAAAAAGCTTGTGACCAAACGTGTGAACCTAAATTGGAGTTTCTTAAGGTGTAAAAACGCCAAATGCATTCATCACAATTAACTGAAACCAGAAGGACCAAAATCGTGCTTTGACCTTAAAGCAAAGAGGCTGAAGCTACTTACTGAGCGGTAGGATCGTCGTAGTACGCTTCTTTGAGCTCAGAAGGTTCTGAATTCAAATGGGTTGGGAAAGGAGTAGCGGCGGCAGCTGGGGGTTCTGGGTTTTGCGGAAAAGACGCAAAATTGGTGCGGAGATGGTGAAAGTGGTGGACCTGGTGGTGGTGGCGGTGATGGAGAGGGCAGAGGAATAAAGGGTGGTGGTGGTGATGATGGTGGAGGTGGTGGTGGGGATGGTGGAGTAAGCATGGCCTCGATGGCCTGCTTCCATGTGGAGGATCCATGGGTTTTGTAGGATGACTGATCGGCAATGGCAGCTGGATGGTGCGAAATCAGGTTTTCAAGATCCGAACTAGATATGGGTTGAAAGGCCAAATGGGCTAGGTCCGGCTGTTTTGGTCCAACTCAATAATTCTTCATACAAGTTTAAATGGGCTTTTATTTTAATTTTAATTTTAGGAATTGTTATTAGCACTTCAAAAATCTCATTCTACATTTTAAAATTTTTATATTAGGAAATAAAAATACACTTATAAGGAGTGTAGAATGAGATTTTTGGAGTGCCAATAACACTTCCCTTATTTATTTATTTATTTTTTGTATTTTGTTTTTTGTTTTTTTTTTTAACAAATGATAGCATTAGTGTAACACTGTTAGTTGCTAAAGGGGAGGGGGATCGGTGGAGATCTAACCCGTGTCATGGTGCATAAAAATAATTGCTTTCCGCTATTACGGTAACATAAGACACTTCTGTAAACCTTCAAAGTGAGAATAGAAACATGAAATTGCAACAAAACTTGTAGTCCTTTTAGTTAAAAGCAATCACTTATATATTCAAAGAAATACTTAGGTAAACAGATTACAACCATTGCAGCGTCCAAACCACTAATACAAGACGTGCAAAGTCATATATATGAGGTTGAATGTCACAAAGTGAATTGGCTCCATATTCTGTATTCAAGGTCGCAAATGACTCTTCACACACAATATCGCTTGCATAAAAAAAAAAAAAAACATGAACCCTATTTGAAATTGGACAAAGGTGGGGAGATTTGGGAGGTAAAGTTATCATTACTATCTTAGACCCTCAACCTAAGTTACTTCAAAATAGTTGGAGATATAGTAGGAGGATAACTTCGAACTTGAAACTAAAAGTAAGTTACTTCAAAATAGTTGGAGATATAGTAGAATATGACTTCGAACTTGAAACTTCTTTTAGTTTTAACTAGAGAATTATCACGTGACTAAATTCCAGTTGCTAATGTGTGCGTGTGTGATTCTTTAAGCATCCATGATTCCTTAGTAATTGTGTTAGTCATAATAAAATATAAACCTTTGCCATCTAACATCACTCTTATACCAAGATCGTCCCATATTAATTAACATTTGATCCTTTGGAATATACTTATATACCATGACTTTTTGTGAAATCTCTGACCACCATTAAAGGATAGAACTAACTTTAAATAAGTGATTTTCACGCATTGTTAGCTTTCCACACTTTTCTTTATATATAACCATCATATTGAATGAATCAAATATAATCAACATCCAGAATTAAATAAAAGTGTGTAAGAAGCTAAAAATTGTGTGGAAATCACTTCCTTAACTTTATATGCATCTCATTAACTCTTAGATTCTATACAATAATTTTTTAAGGTCATATTCCTTTCAAAAAAAAAAACAAAACAAAAACCTTTGAGTCAACCAATAAAATATGACAAAATAGAATAAATTTTTGGAAAATTGGAAACTTTTTTCGTTGCATATAAATAAGAGTTTGAAGGGCATGCATAAACCTTTATGTTCATCATTTAAAAAGAGCTATTTTTACGTGTAAGACTATGAATTTCTTTATGACTACGATTAAAAGCATTTTATGATAACTAAAAACGTTTATATCCACATTTGTCAGAAACAAAAAAAAAAAAAAAAACCTAAAAGTGATTTGTGGATAGTTTGTAGTACTGGTTTTAGGGCAGTTTATGTCAAGTATGTATTTAGTTTGTTGGAAGTGCTCTAACAAAGTGAGGTACTATTCATCCATCATCATTTTTTATTCTTTGATCCAATTACTTGAAATAATTGAGATATAGGGATTTGCACATATAACATCCATGAATCCATGGAGGGATTTGCAAATGCCAAAGGATTTAGCATGAGTTAGAAATGTAGCACAAAACATTTTGCGGAGGAATTTAAAATGACCGTATACAATGCATTGAAAGAGATTTACAAATGACTCATTTCAACCCCTCTTCCTAATATTTTGTAGTGTGATTCAAATTCATCTTTCTAATGTTTTGTATTCATTTCTAACTAAATTGTTCTAAATTCATTGGTACTTATATATCCCTCATCTCAACATAGTGTAGTTCACTTTACAAATGGAATAATGAACCTAAGCATTCATCCTACTTGTTAATGACCTTATGTAAATCCAGAGGTGATAGAAAGCTCTAGGCGCCAAGGCCAAAAAGTTCATTGGACATGATAAAATATGCATCACAAGGGATATAACTCACTTCGATAGATCAAATTGTTTACACGTGGGCCAATGTTTTTCAGAGAAGTCTCCATCATGCATGTGTGGTGATGAGTCCATATTATACTATATAATTTACCTTATTCTTGGTATTAATTTATTAGTTATTTTGGTAGAATTTTGATACTTTGTTATATATTTTCAATGTAGGATATTCGATTTTCTCTGGAGCAAAAAGTGATCAAACGGATGAATTTTGGAGTGATTCCAATTGGAGGATGTTCGTGAGTGTGTCAAGATGTTCGTGTCAAAATTCCAGATTTTTCTACGAAACCGTTTGACCGTGGAAATGAAATAAAAGGTCAACGCGCAGCTTTTCCAAATTGACGTTTCTAGACGTTTTTGGGTATTTTGGAGGTCAAGATGGCATATTTTAAGGAAGATTCTTTTGAGAATTTGTTGGGGATGTTGGGACCAAATCGGAGTTGATTTGGTCGGTCAAAAGTCTGATTTTCTGAGAAGTCCGAATTTCAGTTTAAATAGGAAACGTTTTATTTCCTAGTTATCTTATTCTATTATATTTCCTAGTTTTTAGAAAACCTTTTCTAGGTAGGATTTTATTTTGTAGTAGTATAAATAAAGATATTTAGCCATTAGGGTTAAAATGAGGAGAACGGAGGCATCAATTTGGAGAACTTAGCTAGGTTTTGACGTTTTGTATTTCAAGGTGTTTCCTATCCTTTTTCTATTTCAATAATGGTTGTTCGTATCTAATTTCCGTTTGCTAGGGCGATGTCTTGAGCCTTAGCATGAATATGTAGTCTTTATTCAATTACTTATCATATTATATATGCATACTTTCAATTATTAATCACCGTGTTTAAACTGTCTCTATATCTTAATGCTTAGCTACCATTAGGATGTTTAGATAAGTAATCAAATGCAATTCAGTGGGAATGCCATCGGAGGATTGAGCATTGGTTCTTGCGATTGATAGTTGTAAAGTTCACCTAAGGCGAAGGCCATGTCTTAGGGGTTGCATGGTTTTTCAAAAGGTTTTCACAAAGCGTAAAGAGTCATGCATGTTTATATTTGATCTGAATGCCACAGACGGATAGAATGTTTGATATACATTCTAGCTTGAATGCCACAAGTAGAATATGCATAAGGAAAACCTAACCTTCAAAGTTGCAAGGGTCATTCATAAGTAATTGGTAAATCTACATAGGATTGTTAGGGGGACAGCAAAACCCTATGCCTTTTACAATTTAGTTTTCAAAATGTTTTCTTTGCTTTGCTAATTTCTTTAATCATTTTAATTAAATTCGTTTTTATTATTTTTAAAAAATAATCAACCTTTTCTAGTCTTTGTTTTCAAGTAATTAACTAAGATTTTGGTTTTGTATAAATTGTTTTAAATAAGCCTTGTGGAAATGACCTTACTTGAGCCGTTTGTACTATAACTACTTTGTTCTCTTGCAAGTATTTTGTGTGTTTTTATCTCTACTTTTGCAAGTGGTAAAAATCCTATCAAGAATTTGGTGTCGTTGCCGGGGATTGTTTTAAATAATTTGTGTTTACCATATTCTTAGTTAATTATTATTGTACATATTTTTTTATTTAATTGCTAATTTTATTTTTTAGGTTACAATTTGTTAATTCTGAGAAGATGCAACAATGGCGTGGGAACTGCCATCACCAGCCGGACTACAACCTTTATGGGATTCTTCAGCGGCAATGGTGGGCTGGGAACTACCACCACTAGAAGGACCACCTTTATAGGTCTCATTCGCAAAGCAGGGTTTCTATGGATTTAAACCTACAATTTATGCTTTTTGTTGTTCAAATACCCAAGAAATTCAATGCCCCGAAAGGAAATATTTTCCAGACTATGTGAAGGAGCAAATTAATATGAGGAACGACTCGCATTGTCATTGGAACGATCCACTTTTGATTTCTACACTCTAGATTTTAAAAAGCATCCTGGTTTTAGATGGGCAGGTACTCAACATCCTTTTGAGCAGCCTAATGTGCTGCAAAGTTCAAAGGACGGTTGGGCTACTAGTACATTAGAATGTGAGCTCTAATAACATGCTGGGAGATATTGAGATTGAAGAGCCATTAAGGCTTGATTCATGCACAACAGAGGAAATAGAACCTGCTGATCTTAACATATTCCCGGAGCCCATTCCTACCCAGACCTATACACCCCACATACAATATCCCGAGGCTGCAAAGTAACCAACAAAGTTGCATGAAGGCATTGAAACTGACATGTTCAAATGGGTTATTCATACAAATTCAAAATCTGATCCGACACATGACCAACACTTGATAAATCTACCAGATTTCGATACAAGGCAAATAGCTAAAGATAAAATAATTTTTGCTGTTGTAACAGAAGGTGCACCTGCACAGCCAATCAAACTCAAAGAAATTCAAGATGAGTCCTACCAACATGATAAGTTCTACATGGGAATGAAGAAAAAGTTTAATGGCAACCATATTCTTCGTCAAAAAATTCGGCCAGTGGAAAAATTGTGGGTGTTAAATACAAGGTTTAAGTCAGTTCAAAGGAGATGCAAGCCTTGCTTGAAGGGACTCTCTTTGATTACAAGAATTCCTTCACATAGACGAGCAGACATTCAGGACTCAAACATAACATTTAAATACTCGGTCAATAAACATCAAGTCACTTATTACCTAATATTGTCCAATGATGCTATTGAAGATTGGTTGACTCCACAAGAACAAGTGACATAATCACCAACCTTCCACTCCGTCTAGCTATAGACGTTAACTAAAGCGCTTATTAGAAGGCAACCCAATTTTTCTAACTCTTTTCTTTTTGTTTCGTTTATTTTATTTTTCTGCTTTTATTCCTAATTACAAAAATCACAAAAGATTAAAAAATCAGAAAATTGAAAGGAAAAAAATTTGCAATTTTTAATTCTTGTTATTTTTCTCTACTTATCTAATTAGTTTTTTTTTTAATTATTTGTGATTGCAGGCTGCATTCGGAACTGATTCAGTCTAATCTCAACTACTCGTGTATTCATACATTCATCCATTCATCTCAATATATATGCATTCAACCATCCACTCATCACAACTTTGCATTTAATATCAGCATTAAGGTGATAAAATTTAAAAGGAAATCCAACTAGAGTTTGAGTTTCAGAAACGTTACAGTGGGTTTGCAAAGAAGGTTTTGTACCTACTTGGACCCACTCCACTTATTCGCTCTCACATTTCGTAACACACACACACACACACACACACACACACACACTACAATACAAGTTTAGGGGTGGGATCCAAGTAGCATGAAGGATGTAGTATTCCAGTAGAGACCAGATTCAGTATCAGGCATAGAAATTTCTCAGACATTCATCACAGGGTACATAGAAGCACATGGGTAAGCAAGACATAAGCATAAAGAATTCATTGATCTAACACATGCAAGAATATATGAAGATGGGGGACTAAGAAATTATACCTTTGGCTTTGGATCCTAACATTTCTTGTTTTGTCTACCAGTACATCACCGGATCTGAGATGTTGTAGCAAGTCCATTGTCTCTTCCATGGTACTGACATCAGCTCGAAGTTCATTGAACAGAGAAAGGCCACATGCATGTGTTAGTTTTGATTTATTTTACTACAATGCACAACTCAAAACTAAAACAAAGAAGTTTGATGGAGAGTTCTACCTTTGTACCTTTTGGCTTTTGGATTGGACGAAAATAAGGCCTGCAAAACTCCATGAACCGCTTTGTTGTGTTGTAGATGAGTAAAAGATTGAGAGAAATCTCTCATCTTAGGCCATCTCCAACCGAATAAGGGCTAGAGGGCTCGTTTTAGCCTTCTAGACCTCCAATAAATTAATATTTTAATGAACATTGGGGGGCCATATTTCTTACCATCTCCAACCGAAGGCCAAAGGGTCATAGGGCTCGTTTTAGCCCTGTCATAAAAAACCATCTTCAACTGAGAGCCAAAGGACCATAGGGCCAAACATAATTTATTATTTAAATTTTAAAAATTTTGGTCGAAAAAAAAAAAAAAATTCAAATCCAACAGCTAGCTGACGTCAGCCAGCCGTTGGATTTGAATTTTTTTTTGCTATAAATAAGGTGGATATTGGGCTATAATTCACACACCTTTGAATTAAATCTCTTTTAATTCAAACTCTTTCAATTCAATCTCTTTCAATTCAAGTTTGCAATGAATTCCAACTTTGGATCCTCTTTGAATTCCAACTGGGGGTCTGAATCCAATTCTGAATTGGAAGAAAAATGGGTACATATGAGACGAGAAAATGAGGAGTCTGATGAAGAAAATGAAGCATGGCGCAACACACAATATGTGCCAGCCATAGCTCCGTCCATGGTGTGTTAGCCAACTGAGGAACAACTTTAATGGGGTGGCTTTGTTGCTGGTTGTTCTTACAAACCACGAAACAGAGCGATGACGCATGACAATCTGATGAACAACTACTTCAACCCCAACTCGGTGTACACAGAAGAGGTTTCAGACGTCGTTTCCGGATGAGGCGTCATGTGTTTGAGCGTTTACTTCATGATGTTCAGCAGGTCAATCCATACTTTCAACAGAAGCTAGACAGAGCATGCCGCCTTGGTTTCTCACCTCATCAGAAGGTTACTATTGCACTCCGAATGATGGCATATGCCTCCCCAACTGATGCGATGGATGATACATACGATATGTCTGAGTCTACATGCCTTGATACTCTTGCTGAATTATGTGACATCATTGTTCATCTTTATAAAGAGGAGTACCTCTGTGAGGCAAATCAAAAAGATCTGGATCGGCTCTTTCGCAAAGTTGAAGATCGTGGTTTTCTAGGCACGATAGGGTCATTACAGTTCACCAACCTCATTACAGCTCTTGGACATTCACCTCTCTTCGATAACCTGACAGAAGGTGAATTACCTCAACTTGACTACTACATCAACGACCATCAGTATAATATGGGGTATTACTTGGCAGATGACATCTACCCAAAGTGGGTGACACTTGGTAGTATCTCTTTAAATGAGTACATGCGGCGCTATAGGATGATACGTTCCCGTGCCACAAACAAGTACCTACAATAGGATCTTGTTGCACATCTTTTGTAATGACCCGTCCCCAATTACTACGAATTTTATAATTTTAAAATGTGAAATTTTGAAAATACCCTTCAATGCAAATGCGTTGACTTTTGTTGACTGCTTTTTCGTGGCACATAAGATCTGTTTTCTTGATATCTTTGTAGTACTCATCATTATGGATGTGTGGGCACAAACGAAACACAATTTGGAGTTATAACGAAAAAATTATAGACATTTGGAATCATTTTACTAAACTTTAAATTATAAATTAAGTATACTCCCACCATGTGGGAATGGTGGACCAATTGGACTAATGGCAAGGGAACAATCATAAATAAAGGGGAGGGAGAATAACCCCTCATGTCTACCCATTCCCGCGCAGCAACTGGTGTTAACCCAGTTATAATTTCGGCCACTTCCACCATTTTTCCAGACCAAATTCACACACCCATCACCTGCAACCTCTTCCACAACCTCCCTTTTACCATCTCCACCCAAATTTGAGGGTTTTTAGGTCCAAAATTGTGAGGAACTCTACCAGAGCACCAGAGGTGCTCGATGACGATTCCGCCGTTCTGGCGAGTTACACCACCCATTGCCACCCTTAATTAACTTCCCTTGGACCCAGGAACAAGATCCAATCAGTTGTAGGGGCGTTGGAACACCGAGGAAGGAGAATCGAAGCTCACCCATTCCAGGGTTTTCGACGGGTACGAGCCAAATTGGGTTCTTTCCCGGCCAAATTGGACATGACCACAGGTATGAAACTTGCTCTACTCATTGAGATCTACATTTCTGTGAAATTTGAGAGTTTTTGGAAATAGTTGGATTTTCTGGTGAGTCGGGGTGGCCGACTACCGCGTGCGGCGGCGCGTGTGCCGAGACCCCACCTGCCCTTCCTAGACTAATTTGGATACCTTAATTACATATGTGATGTTCAATTGATGAAATCTCATCGTATGACTATAGTTTAATAGAGACTGCCACTTGGACATTATATGAATTGACTATTCGACCGTTGGATCATCACCAAACTTTAATACGTTATAGTACATAATATTTGACGACCATAGAAACTTACAGATTGGGAATCCAACGTATGGATCTCCCCGAATTGAAATTCGAAGTTGTAAAACAAACTTTGATAGCAACCTAATTTTAGCGATTGGCGGAGATCCGACCGTTGGATCGTTCTGAAACTTTAGGATGTTGTTCTAGAAGCTTATTAAAACTCTTGGGATGTTACAGGTTGGAAATCCAAGATGCGGATCTTCAGGTGAGTGGGTCTTTTCTTTTTTATAGAATATATATATATATATATATATATATATATATATATATATAGATAGATATATATATATGATTAATAGCTTCCATTTATGCATTTGAAAAAGAATTTCTTACGTACGCCAGGATTAGACTAAAGTTTATAAGAATTAGCAAAATGACAGAATTTATGAAATATGCTACATCTTACAGGATGCACATGTATGCTTATAATCTTTGATGCCATAATGAAAGTTAGTATGTTGATTAGAATTATTGAATCACTGTGGCATGTTTATATTTATGTAGTCTGCTCATTATTGCTGCACCTCGGTGTTAGTGCTCGCCTAGGGCTAGGGCCAGTCTTTCACGTGTATGTTCACCTCTGCACTACACGCTCGCCTTGGATCCAAGTAGGTGCCAGTCCTACCGTATAGGTTGCATTAGGCAACTTCGACTAGTAAGTGACCGCGAATAGCACTAGTCTTCACGTGATTATAGCACTAAAGTGTATATTATGATTACACGCAATCCTGTCGTACATATCGCATTAGGCGACTCCGACTTGTGTGCTAGCATAGATTGATAAGCATCAGCTCAGTCGTACAGGTCGTATTAAGCGACTCCGACTTGTGTGTTAACATAGATTGATGAGCACCTGATTTTACTTATATTACTATTGAGATTTTGTGATTTTGGATGTCTTGCCCTTAGTTACGAGATATTGTGCTGTAATGAATTCTTGAGATTTTGCAGGCTACGGTAAGTATTTTTATACTATACGTAGTAAGTATATTTTGGAAACTATACTTGTTTTACAGCGAGGGGTTACAATGTTTTCATAAAGGTTTTTATAAAACTTTATTTGTAGGCCCACTTACCCTTGTTTTTCGCCCCCCCAGGTTTTAGTAACGGAGTTTACGTATCGACGAGGATTATTGGCAAATCTCAGTATAGGTGGCTATCATTAAGGGTATGATCCTCACCCAATCTTATTGTACTATACTTATACTCTGACATCACGTGTGAAATGAGTTCATTCCCGCTTACAACACACTCTCATATTTAGGCACTTTTATGTTTAAATTTATTCACATTTTCCACATCACTACACTTTATGGCTTCGTCACCTTCCAGGTGTCGGCCTTCATAGCTCGATTTGGAGTCCTAATGGACATTTCGGGTTGGGGTGTGTCATCTTTGGGCCAAAAGAAGCATGAAGTAGGTGTTTAAGTTTTATGTTGTTAAATGTTTTTAAAAATGTTGTTTATGTTTCATGTTGTTAAATGTTTTTTGTCATGTTGTATAATTTTTATATTGTTTAATGTTATTTAATCTTGTTTAATATTGTTTAATATTGTTTCATGTTACTTAATGCTATTTAATGGCTTAGGAAGTTATAGGGAAAAAAAAAATAGAAAATTTTTGTAAAAAGTAAAAAAAAAAAAAAAATTTCAAAAATAAAGGCTAGCTGAGATCAGCTAGCTAGCCCTTGCAATTGAATTCTGGCCTGGCCGGTTGGCTTTTTGGCCCTTTTTTGTCCAGTGGGACCCATAAGCCATTTGACCTGTCCCTTAGTTGGAGACGGTTTTCGAGCTATTTTCGGCCCTCTAGACCTTTCGGTTAAAGATGGCCTTAGAAATAGGGAGGCTAGGTTTTGAGAACCCACATAGCTTTGGGCTCGAGGTGGAGTGTTTACAGCTAGTGTTGGAAATGGTAAATGAGAGCTAAACTTTTTATTTATGAATCTGCTAGGGTTCACATCAGAAGGTTTCGCACGTGTAGGCTTGCACGTGCTGGTCAGCGCCTCTTCTATGCTTCCAAGTCTCGAGTTTGACACCAGGTCTCGAGTTCGCCTCTTCTATGCTAGATTCACTTATGTTTGTGTCTAAGGATTTTCTAGTCGTAAGTACTCATTTTTATTTTATTTTTATTTATTTCCACACCTTGAGGACAATGTGTGATATAAGTTTGGGGGTGGGGAATAAGAAATTTTAGATTTTTAATTTTTGATTCAAATAAAATTTTCATTCTTTTTAAGTTAATACCTATAGATTAATTTAAACGTTAGAAAAAATGGACGTGGTGAAGGTTAATCTCATAGTAGAGTTTTTTTTTTCTATTTATCGTTGCTTAGACACTAATTTATGAGTTATACTTTGAAAATTTGCACATTCACATCAACATGGTTTGTGGGGAGTGACATTGAAGTACTTACTTTTCGCCTAGCTAATTTTTAATTTTTTTTTATGTTCTAAATAAAGTAAAGTTTAGTATGTGTTGCAAATAAAGTAATAATTGTTCCACCCGAGGCTTTACTTAGTAACAGGGCTTGTCCTATCTGATCAGCAGTGATTCTCGCGTCAAATGGTAGAGTTTTGGCATGGGGCAGGGTGGTTAGTTGGTTTCGTAGACTTTTCAGCTCAAGTTAGTAAGTCCTTAGGGGTGTTCTACGCCTAGTGCCCTAAAGCCTTTGTGGTTTGGGAGTCATTGACCTAAAGCTCGCTACATGGGTTGGATCAAAAGCTTAAGTGAACTGACATTGCACAACCACAACTATTACTGAAAATAAAAAGTGTAAAAAAAAAAAATTTGAGAAAAATCGAAAAGAGAGAAAAAAAAAAGTTATGTGTGAAGTGTAAAATAAAGAGGACGAAAGGTAAGGATTTTAGTCGAGTCTCCTTAACTATGTTGGTTCACTTTACACCAAATGAAGTTCATGAATTCTTTTCTAATTGATTCTAAATGGCTTAGACTCTATGGTGGGATTAGTTGGAACTTTTGAAAAGATGGTCTAATTTTTAATGTTTTCTTTGGCTTGTGACTTGAAGGTGAAAATTGTCTTAGTTAATTTTTGTTTAAGTTTTCGTTAGTTTTTATATTTGTTTTTGAGTTTTGTTTTACTTGAGGACAAGAAAAAAGGTAAGTTTGGGGTATTTGATGAGTCGATATTATATTATATATTTTACCCTTATCTTAGTATTAATTTATTGGTCATTTTGGTAGAATTTTGATACTTTGTTATGTATTTTCAATGTAGGACATTCAACTTCCTCTTGAGAAAAAAGTGATCAAATGGATGAATTTTGGAGTGATTCCAACTGGAAGATGTTCATGAGTGTGTCAAAATGTTCGTGTCAAAATTCCAGATTTTTCTATCAAGCCGTTTGACCATGGTAAAGAAAAGAAGGCCTAGTGCGTAGTTTTCTCAGATTGATGTTTCTAGATGTTTTGGGTATTTTGGAGGTCAATATGACATATTTTGAGGAAGATTCCCCATGACGATTTGTTGGGGACGTCTCAAACTTTGAATAGAGACATTTTGGGACCAAATCGGAGTTGATTTGGTTGGTCAGAAGATGGATTTTCTGAGAAGTCCAAATTTTAGTTTAAATAGGAAACATTTTATTTCCTAGTTATTTTATTCTATTATGTTTCCTAGTTTTTAGAAGACCTTTTCTAGGTAGGATTTTATTTTGTAGACGTATAAATAAGGCTTTTTAGCCATTAGGAACGGGGGGTCAATTTGGAGAACTTAGTTAGGCTTTGACGATTTATATTTCAAGTTGTTTTCTATCCTTTTTCTATTTCAATAAAATTCCATTTGTTTTATGGCTGTTCGTTACTAATTTCCGTTTGCTAGGGTGAGGCCACGAGCCTTAGTAAGAATGTGTAGTTTCTTTTCAATTTACTTATGATATTATGCATGTAGGTTTTGAATTATTAATCACATGTTT